AAACAGTCACCTTGTTCAAACCTCGGTAGTCGATGACTAGCCGCAAACTCCCATCCTTCTTCTTGACAAAGAAGACAGGCGCTCCAATCGGGGACTGTGAATGCTGAATGTACCCCGAGGCAAGGTTCTCATCCACGTACTCTCTGAGGGCCTTAAGCTTGAACAGGGATAACCCGTAGATAGGCCCCCACAAAGGTGACGCTCCTTTCTGTAAATCAATGGGACAGTCATAAGGCCATTGAACAAGCAGTACACTAGCTTTTTTTTTGTCAAACACATCCCCAAAATCATGATACTTCTCAGGAAGACTGACAGGAGAAACATGCAAAGCAAAAAGGAAAATAGGTTCTTCATAAAGGAGTTCTTTCATAGTGATTGTGGAGATAGGAGGAGGCGTACGACTAAATGGAATGATGAGAGGAGGATACTGTCCAGTGTAAAATGGAAGAGAGGAAAAAGAAGAGGGTGAAAACTTCGTAAAGTTAGGAATAGATCTCTGATTTGAGTTTAGGGAACTTTTCCTGATTCGGACTCGATGAACAGTAAGGGAAGCCGTAGGAGATGGTGATGTGGGAGAGACGAACTGTAATTCCTTCTAACAGATCAAGGCTGATATAGTTGGAACAAAGGAAGACCAAGCACCATAGAGGAGGACTTGCTATTGATGATGTTGAAGGCGATATCAGTGATGGTGGACCTGATGTGTACTCAAACAGGCAACGTTTCCCTAAGTCCAAAAGATGGAAACACAAAATGCCCGCCAATGCCTTCAACCCTCAGATCTTGTATGGTAGGAGAAAAAGGAACGTGATGTTGGGCAGCAAAGTCCGTGTCCATGAAGCAGAAAGTTGCACCCGAGTCCAGTAGTGCTAGAGCCTCAAGTCCTGATTATCCGATGAAAGAAAGGAGACATGGGACGCGGAAGTTGCGGGAATTGGTGGTGGCTTTAATGAAAGGTGGTGAGGAGCTTGATAAAGAAGAAAAGTGAGTTTTATTCAGGGAGTCCAAACAGACAGCTCCTACTTTGTTTGGACAGGGTCGTTTCCCGACTGCAACAAAGGTGGACTTTGAGGCAAAGTGAACTCGAGTAGTCGAGGAGGCTTTTTGGGACACACAGCTGCTTTGTGATTAGGATCAACACAGTAGAGGCAAAGATTATGAGATATTCAATGTTGCTTCACAGCAGGACTCAACTTCCCTCTGATAAGTTGGGGTGTACCAGAAATATCCATCGGGACTGGAGCAATAGGTTCAGGAGTATGCCCCAAAGACTCAAGCTGGGATTCCTGAGTCTGGGACGGGAAAATGGCAGCGTGGCGACTTTCCTAATGACGTTCAAAGAGACGATTGTCGCATTGAATAGCTTTTTTGATGGCGTCCGACAAGTCCGTGGGATCCTCCATGGTGAGCAACAAATCCTTGACACCGTTGTTGAGGTCGAAACGAAATTGATCAATCAAGGCCTGCTCATCCCACTGAGTGTCCAAGGCAAGGAGTTGGAACTCCGCAGCATAGATTGAGGCAGGACGAGACCCCTGAAAGAAACATCTCATCTTTGTGGTGGCAGCCCGAACTTGATCCATCTCGCCAAAACATGTTTTAAACTTCTCTTTGAACAATTGAAGATCCATCAGCTCCGGAACCACGACCCCTTTTATGCTCTTCTCTATGAGAGGAGAAAACCATAACAAAGCTGCACCTTCAAGTAACGTCCCAATCGTGCCGATTTGAGACTCGGGAGTGGGGTACCGCCGATGTTGAAGTGCGAAGATCAGCTCTATTTGGTTTAGGAATCCGCAAAGCTCCAAACGCTTGCCTGAAAATTTCGCCAGGAAACTCACCTTTGGTTCAGGAACTTTGCTGGATCCTTGAGCCAAAAGTGAAACAAGCTCCTGTTGCATGCAAAGAAGGTATTCTCAGACTGGATTTTTGCAAGGACTTCGGCAAAGAAATCAAGATGGCTTGGAGATTCCATTGGCAAAGAAGAAAGGAAAAAGGGGGAAAAAGGCAAAGGCAATCAAACAATCAAAATGAGCTAAAGCAAAAAAAAAAAAAACACAATCTAAATCAAACTGTCAAAACCCCCAACAAGATCAAGACTGAAAAATGCAAAAGATAAAGAGAAAAGCTAGTGGAAATGAAGAAGAGGCCTTAGACTGGCGTTGATTCAGATTATGGAGAAATGGAACAAGGCTAATCTATATATACTATAGGTTGATGAAACTCCACCATTCTTGGATCGAGGATGGCCTAAATATAGTTGAGGTCGAGGAGGCGCCACATCATCATCAGGAATGTGGCTCGAGACTCAGGAATCGTACAGGAAATTGAGAGTCAGGAATAGGGAAGTGTCTCGAGAGTCAGGAATGTGATCTGCAGGTCAGGAATCTGGCGAGAGTCAAGAATGTGGCAAGAATTGGGGGATTCCTAACAAAAGAAGGATAAACATGCCCAACGGGAAACCAGATAATGGTATATACCAAAAGCTATACAAAAGATATATAAAGCTATAACAACCATACATGTACTCACTAAGATCTTTTTTTTCATCTCTGTATATGCAATAAAACTAATTGCTTAATCTCACTGGATAGTACTCGCTAAAACTAATCCTTCGATACCAAATGTAGTGCATATAGTTTTCACTCTATACCCTATAGTAAATTAATTGGATAACCATCTAGCATAATTTAATCCTTGGACACATATGCCAAGGAAAACAAAGTGGAACTCAAGATTTCAAGGCCTTGCATCATAGAATGAAAGGATAAAGTTAAACTTCTAAGCATATAAGCAAAGAGCAAACTATCAAAAGACAAAGCGATATTAAAATAGTCTTAAAGCATCTAATGCTAAGACCAATATGCAAAATAGATTTAGTGCTATTTTAGCATATAGATAGTATAATGCGAGGATATGGATAGTCCACTAGCTAGCATAGGATGGAGTTTGGGCTTCAACCTAAAAAAGATGTAAAACAAGGATAGATATATCTAACAAGAAGTTAGATAATATCTTAGGTTAATTAATCATGCCTAATATACCCATTATCTTTACTATACATTTGAAACCCTTCATTATTCCTTACCCCCAAATATGAAAACACACTTTAGGCTTTCACCTTAGTTCTAAGAACTAGTCTTTGGGACAATCTTGAAAACTTACTAAATATGAAATGGTACTATATTTTGAATCTAAATAACACCATTTTATTCAAGCTCTACATTCTATAAATATGCTTAACTGGCAAGTCTAGACACTTTACATAAATAACTAATGGAATTGAAATAGGACCAATATATAGGGAATGATAATAAGAGTGCTTTAGCAGATATAGTAATTTATCATTTAGTGAGTATTAAGAAACTAAGCTCAATATCAAAAGGGTTCTTACCACTAACAAATATAAGCTAAAAAATAGGTTTTTCTAATCAAATCAAATATATTTGTTTGATAACATTTAGGAATTCCATCTTTATGCTCTTTTAGTTAAGTGCACATGTGTAAACCAATTTTTAAACTAGCTTAGGTGGAGATTAACAAAAGGAATTAGTAATACCAACCTTCTACTGTTATAGCAGTAAAAGAAAAGTATTTAAAAGGACTTACCAAGAGATAACTTCTTATACTTATAGATAAATTTGTGACAGCATCCAAAATCTCAAAGCCAATACTAACATGTAAAACAAAGTTTAGTTTGCATAAAGACTGATAAAAGGAATTAATAATACCAACCTCCTATTGTTATGGCAGTAAAAGAAACATATCCAAAAGGACTTACCAACTGATAACTTCCAATACTCATAGATAAATTTATGAAAACATCCAAAATCTCAAAGCCAATACTAGCACATAAAACAAAATTAAACGAAGTTTGACACTATTTCAACATTCTAGTCTAAGTGTAGAGTTCCACCCTTGTCTGTAACTTGCCAATGTAGGATTTAAAAATGAATTACAGCTTTATTTGCTTTGATAATGGAGAAAAATTTTGTTTTTGAGCTTGGAAAAGCTATGGTCTTTTAAGAAGAAAATACTTAGCTCCATAGATTGATCCAAGATTTTTTCCTCAACCTTCTTCCTACCTTCTATTTTTCCATACCAATTTCATTATATCTATATGAGAATTGTGGACTGGCACCAAATGCGAAGCCACATTTTCAAATTTAGGTTAAACTTTTGTGCTTGTAGAAATGTCTTTTTTGGATGTTTCAATTCTTTGATTTGGGGGATGGAATGTGGATTTACTTTCTAATATCAAGAGCTCTTCATTTTGTTAAAGACTTTTCTAATCACATCTTTTTTAATAGCCTTATAACCACACCCAATGAAAGTAATCCTTGAAGCATTTGTACTCATAAATGGACTTTTGTAGGCCTCCAACATACAAAGCACTTGGTTCCTACATGATAATGATGAAGTACCATGCCTGGAGCAAAAGATGTATATGGAGGGTCCTTTTCATCCCACATGAACTTTCATTTTTTTCATCACAAAAATGCAAAAAAAAAAAATATTTTAAAAAAACCACTTATAATCTAACTTGGAGATCATAATGTTGTATATGTCCTCCACCTCGGCCATATTACACAATAGACAGTGATGAGGTGGTGTGGGAGTTCCAGGCTAATTCAATTGCTAGTCTCTACCTGGATATTTGTATGAAATTTTGATGATTGTGCTTGAATTTAATGCAGATGCCTATTGCACATATATTTAAGTATGATTGAAATTCTACAAAATGCAAAAGCTCCTATTTGATGCTTTTTTGACTTTCATCTTTTATCTCAAATTTAATATGGAAGTTGTAGCACCCAATTCTGAATCACCACTTCTAATGACTCAACAAAATTTTATTAGTTGATACCATCCCAAAGTGGTAGGCAACTTTATTGAATCTCAACTCATTTGATTGGCTAAGGGCAAAAAACTACCCCTAGTGGAATATGGATCTTTATAAGACTATTTGAGCACTTACATGTGTGGTAGTTCTTCATTAGTGTAGGGCTGATCCTTGTTTCTTGTGGAATGGACAAAATTCATGAGGAATTGGAGCAGGAGCAGCAGGATGCAACAACCAGAGATGGGACTGTGGATTGGTTTGGGAAGCCTGCAGCCAAGGGCTCAACAGGTGGATGGTGCACATCACCATATATTCTGGGTATGTTTTTCCTTTTATCTTAGTTTGCATTTCAGATTTTTCTTCCTCTCAGGAACTCAAACATTTGCTTCTGTTGGCTTCTGCGGTGTTTGGACTAACTTAGTTCTCTATCTCAGTAGAGTACTACATGAGCGTAATTCAGAAGCAGCTAATGCCGTTACTAACTGGGTTGGGACTTCCTACCTCAGCTCCTTACTGGGTGGATTCCTTGCTGATGCTTACTGGGGAAAATATCGTACAAATCTCATATTTCTTACCATCTACCTTCTGGTAAGAGGTTGAGAATAGAATTTTGTTCTCTAACATGTTATCATTTAGGGAATGGTGGTACTTACACTCACCGTAACTCTGCCCTCACTAAAACCTTCACCTTGCAAAATGAACGTGTCAACATGCTCCGTTAGCACACTGGAACAGAAAGCGCTACTGTATCTTGGACTTTACACAGTAGCTGTAGGTTATGGAGGATATCAGCCTTGCATCTCATCATTCGGAGGTGATCAATTTGATAAGGAGGATCCTCTTGAACAAAAGCAGGCCGCCACCTTCTTCAGCTGGTATTACATGTCCATGATGGTTGGAGCAATTATTTCAGCTACGCTTATTGTCTATGTTGAAGACAGTGTGAGCTGGAGCTGTGGGTTCGCTATATCTACAGCTGCTGCAGCAGCATCGATTATAATCTTCTTGATTGGCACTCGACTATATCGGCATCAAAAAACAGGTGGTAATCCTTTAACCAGAGTAGTCAAGGTCTTCACTGCAGCCGCTTTCAAACTGTATGTAGAAGTTCCCTCAGACAGCTCTCAGCTTTATGAGGTTGACTCTGCTGTTTCCGCTATTCAAGGAAGTCGTAAGATCCAGCATACTCCCAATTTCAGGTAAACACTTAAAACTTTCAGACCTGTAGTCGACTATAACTCGGACATTTTTCCTTCCTAGATTTCTTGATAAGGCAGCAGTGAAACTCGATACTCACGATGATATTAACATTTCATGGCGGCTTTGCACAGTCACACAAGTTGAAGAGGTGAAATCTATGATGCGACTCCTCCCTATTTGGTCAACAACGATCATATTCTCAACATTGTACACACAAGTGAGCACTCTGTTTGTCGAGCAAGGTGCTGGTATGAACACGCTGGTAGGCAACTTCAAAATACCACCAGGATCTTTGTCAACATTTTGCACGCTAAGTGTCATCATATGCAGTCCTGCATATGAGTGGCTTCTAGTTCCAGCAGCCCGTAAGTTAACAGGCAAAGAGCGCGGAATTACCAACCTGCAACGAATGGGAACCGGCAAGGTAGTTGTAACAACTGCAATGGTCTGTGCCGCTGTTGTGGAGATCTTCAGGTTGAAGTCCGTGGCAAGAACAAATTCAGCTCCTCTTCTGAGCGTCTTCTGGCAGCTACCACAATACTTTCTGGTCGGCCTGTCTGAGGTGTTTGCCTACATTGGGCAGCTGGATTTCTTTTACGAGCAGTCACCTGATGCCATGAGGGGCGTAGGACTGGCTTTGTCCCAGTGCTCATTTGCCTTGGGGAATTATCTGAGCAGTTTGCAGGTGGTGCTAGTTACGAAAGTCACAGGTTGGCTCCCCGATGATCTTAACCGCGGTAACCTTGACTACTACTTCTGGTTTCTAACAATACTCAGCTTTGTCAACCTGGCGTTCTATCTGTTCTGCTCTCTGCGCTACAAACCCATTCAAATCAACCACGACGATTCAGTTTCATTGAGGGCGAGTTATGCTCAGCTTGATCTTGACCTGGAGGATATGATTGTTGAAAGGTATGCCTCGGATGATTTAAATTTGATTGAGCATTTTCTACAGAAAATCGAATCCACAAAACACCTCTGAGGTGCTATAGGAGGAAAGTTCATCTGAATGTTTCACCACTGCAGCAGTACAAACAGGAAAGTTTTGTAATACCTTTGAAAGAAATGCATGGAGCAGAAAATGATGCAATGATACATTGCAAGATGATAAATCCATTATGTAATGGAACAAGAGAACACTCAACAGTTCTAGTCACTGGAGTTAAAGAGCTATCAAAAGCTTTTAAAGTGAACTTATTATCTAAACGATGGTTTGGGTTAACTATTTTTACCCCATGCGGTCGACTAGGAGGGAATGAGGTTAACTTGGATTAGCCCAGAAACAGTGGATATAATGTAACATTTATTCTAAGGAAACAACTGAACAATAGCATTGGAAGATTTTTTGAAATACAAATCAATAATAAAATTGTGAATTGTTAAGAAGAGCAATGTGATAATCGAAAATGAAAAAGAACAGGAATTGCTATTGGAGAACGATGATATACTCAACACAACAGTCCGGACAATGCACCATCCAGCACCATTGTCATTGGACAGTGCCATTTCATGGTGGCCTCATATAAGGACTTTACAAAACAAAACCTTGGGTCAGAGATTAGGGTAGTAAGATAGTACGTTCTGGTAGGTGACTCCACAATTTCGTGTCCCATGAAATTGGCATGGAAGAAGAAGAGAAGAAGCTTGGAAGAAAATTTGAATGGTTTCTCCGGAAAGAGTCTTGGATCAATCAATGGAGCTAAATTTCAAAGACGGCGCCTTCTCCAAGCTCAAGAACAAGAAGAGATTTGTGTCCATCACCATTATAGCCGCCACAGCCGCGATTCTTTGCGCGATCCTGCCTGGGCCGCTGGGCGGCCTCAAATACTACCCCGTGAAGCACCAGATCGCTCCTCTTAAGAGCATCCTGCCCAAGTGGCCATCGCGCAACGATAGCTTGCTCCAGTTCGCAAGCATCGAGTTCCAGGATCGCCTCTTCGGCCCCGAGAGCATCGAGTTCAATCCACAGGGGAATGGGCCTTACACTGGGCTGGGCGATGGCCGGATCGTTCGCTGGATGCCGGATCGCGGATGGGAAACGTTTGCCCTCTCATCGATCAACTGGTAAGCAAAATATTTTCTAGGGTGGGTTCTTCATCTTCTTTCTTTGTAGGAACAGGGAAGAATGCGACAATAGAGACAATCCACGACGGCGGGTGAGGAACGAGCACGTCTCTGGCAGGCCGCTGGGATTCCGCTTCGATCCTCGCCCGGGCGATCTCTACATTGCCGATTCTTACTATGGTTTGCTCGTTGTTGGCCCCAAGGGTGGGATTGCGAGACCTCTGGTGCGAGGTGGAAGGGATTCCTATCAAGTTTGCCAACGATCTCGATGTTCATCCCAATCTACTTTACCGACACAAGCACGCGCTGGAATCGCAGGTTCTTTTCATTTCCACTTCGGGTCTTTGTTCTTGGAGAATTTCTTTCTTCAACTTCCATGACACTTTGCTCTCTTTCTTTTTCTTTGTATAGTTGATCTTCCATGCTCTTTGAGTCGCAGTTTTTTGCCAGAAATGTTTTTTTAGTATGGCTTCTTTTTCTTGCTCTTTTTTCTTTCCATTTCAATACAGGTTACATCACATGGTGATCGTTGAAGGAGAGAATACAGGCCGTCTACTTCAGTATGATCCAAACACAGGCAACGCCGTGGTGGTTCTTCGCGGCCTAGCATTTGCTAACGGAGTCCAGCTCGCAAGCGATCAATCTTTCCTCCTGGTAGTCGAGACAACCAATTGCAGGTTATACATATTGATCTTGTTGTATTTTGCTATGGCATCAGTAGCTTCTCTAAAAAGCTTTGCTCGTGTTCTTGACAGGGTTCTCAAGTTATGGCTCAAAGGTAACTTAACTGGAACTCTCGAAGTTTTCGCTGATCTTCCTGGCTATCCTGACAACGTTCGTATCAACGACAAGGGCCAGTTCTGGGTGGCCATCGACTGCTGCCGAAACAGGATCCAGGAGATCATGACCTCCACTCCGTGGCTAAAGTCGCTCGTGTTCCGGGTGCCGGTTCCCTTGAGCTGGATCATGTACGTAGTCGGGGAGAAGATGTACTCGGTTGTGGCGCTGTTTGACAAGCGGGGCGGCTGCTCCGGCGGCTGGAAGACCGCGAGGCCCGGATCGTGAAACTTATAAGCGAAGTGTATGAAAAAGATGGGAAGATCTGGTTTGGAACTGTCGTGCACGATCAGATTACCAGTTTCATACTCCCATGATCACATAACCTATTTAGAAGGTAAGTTCAAACATTGGTTGCCAAATTTCCACTAGCAGAAAAACAGGCCAGTGAGTCACCTTCTGGGGGACAGGTTCAACAAAGGTTAGAGCTTCTCCATGACCTATTCTGTACGACGGTATTAGTTGTTTCGAGACATGTTCTGATGTTATCCAGACATTCTCCCGCCTTCAGCTAGGGTTCTTATGTGGCGTTTTTTGGAGCGCGACCAGGCTTCTGGAAAGTGAATTGAAAACTGGAGTCTGGCAAGGTCTTTCTAGAATGTTGTAGAGGCCAGATGCACAATCAGGGACTTTTTTATCTGTCACGATTCCTCATGCAGACAAGGGCCTGCTAATAATGCAGCACTGAGGACTTATAACAGAGCAATTGCAATCCTTTATTTCTATAGTAGTGCTAGGCTGATCCTTGTTGGAAGGATGCAACAACCAATTGGCCTGCCACACCTCGATATATTTGGGGTTATGTTGGAACTGTTATCCTTAGTTTAACTTCGAGGAACCCAAACATTTGCTTCTGTTTGGACTAACTTAATTCTCTATCTCAGTAGTGTACTACATAAGCATATTTCAGAAGCAGCTAATGCCGTTCTTAATTCCATGGAAACCTCAGTTCCTTGCTGGGTGGATTCCATACAAATTTGCAAATCTCATATTTCATATCATCTACCTTCTGGTAAGAGGTTGAGAATAAAATTTCGTTCCCTAACCTGTTATCATTCAGGGAATGGTGGTACTTACAGTCACATAACTCTGCCCTTGCTAAAACCTTCTCCTTGTGAAATGAATGTGTCAAATGCTCTGTTAGCACATTGGAACAAGAAGTGCTTCTAGATCTTGGACTATACACAGTAGGGTTATGGAGAATATCAGCCTTGCATCTCATCGTTCAGAGGCGATCAGTTTGATAAAGAGGACCCTCTTGAACAGAAGCAGGCCAGCACCTTCAACTGGTATTACATGTCCATGATGGTTGGGGCATTATTTCAGCTACGCTTATTGTCCATGTTGAAGACAGTGTGAGCTGGAGCTGTGGGTGCTCCATGGAAGACAGTGATGCTGGACTACCTCAGACAAAAAGGATTCAGCTGTCTGATGTGCTGAGCCTGTTGAAGATGTAAGGATAAAGTGTGCCACTTCAGAAAAACTGTCCACCACTACAAAAATAGCATCATGGCCATGCACTGAAGGGAAGCCCACAATAAAGTCCATTGAAATACTGTCTGGATGAAGAGGCAGCTGGTAATGGAACCAAAAGACCTTTCTATGTTTGATAGGTAGAACAGATATGTGTCCAGTTGCAAACCTTTCACTAGAGTCCCTTCTAGTAAAACCATTATTTGATTGCACTTGTTGTTCTCCAAACATCAGGGTGTCTTGCTAGAATGCTTGCATGACACTCCTGAAAGATCTCCTTGCTTAAACCATGACTTGAATTGAGAACTATAAGACCCTTCTCCCATAATAAGTTCTCATGAAATGTCTGCTTGTCATCTGTATAATTGGGATTGTCACAAAACTGTTGCCAAATGCCCAATAGTGTCAAATCTAGTGAGTAGGATCTTATTGACATATGTTGCTTCCCATCTGGAAATACTAAAGAATGCTAACACTTTGAGACATTCAAATTGTTGTGATAATGCATATGGAAGAATGTGAACATCATAGTGAAATCCAAGGCTTGAAGTTGTTTCACCTTACTTTTTGGATAAATATTATTACTCCAAAATGAATTTCAAGCTATGATGGTTTGTTCTAAGTGTAAACCATCGAGGCAATAAGTAATAACACTATTTCTCAAGAGGTCACCCAGCTCAATACTATTTAAAGCTAAGGATATTTAATCTTAAGTACCCTAAAACCTTTAACTGATTGGAAAAGAAGGTGCACTCTTATTCATGGTTTTTTTCCCTTTATATTTGAACCCTTATAGATCGTTTATTGAGTAATTCTCTTTGGTTGCTTGCAATTTATTATGCTTCCTTATAAGTTCATGCCCTCATGAATAAAAGCTGAGAGCCACAGTTCTCCTAAGAGCCCCACTCTCTTGATACCCTACCCCTCGTGTAGAGCCCAACTAGAGTAAACTATACTTACCAAATGTCAATCAATATGTGATGTGATTCCCTAGCCAATCAATAGAGTTGGACTCGAGACCTCTCTGATACTAAATGTAAACTCCTGAATTTAGACTTCTTGGGAGGTCACCCAACCCAGTACTATTCAAACCTAAAGACATTTAACCCTAAATATCCCAAAATCCTTAACTGATTGAAAAAGAGAGTGCATTTTTATTCATAAGCTCTTTCCCTTTATATTTGAACCCCTATAGACCATCTTTCAAATCATTCTCTTTAGTTGCTTACACACTAGTGATCAATGGTATGGATAATAGCCACTATTTCTTGTTCATATACTAGTACTTTAGACTTATAAATAGAGAAACTATGACTATCAAAGGCCACCATTTCCTCTCTTTGGTGAAGAACTACTCATATCTAAAGCATTAGTCTTAACAATAAATGGTTCCAAGGAATCTGGAAGTGAAAGTAACAGTGTAGTTAGAAGTTGTTACCTCAACAACTCAAATGATTGTGCTGCATCTAACCATAGAAGAGCAGAAAATATTGCCAAATAAGGTCATAATATAAAGTAACATAGATAGTTGGCAAAACCATAAAAGGCTTGTACATGCTTTAGAAACTTGGCCAATTTGTAACAATTTGTAATTTTGATTGATCAGCC